CCTTCAGATCGGCATCCATGCAGCCAGCGGAACGGAACTACGAAATCTACGATCGAGAAATGCTTGCTATCATTGAAGCACTGAAGGATTGGAGGAACTTTCTAGAAGGACTCCCTCAACCATTCGACATCATTACGGACCATTCGAACCTCGAATTCTGGCGCACTGCACAAGACCTCACCCGCCGACAAGCCCGATGGGCCCTCTATCTGTCACGGTTTGACTTTCATATGATCCACCGCCCTGGCAGAGTAAACACCCAAGCTGATGCTCTCTCCCGCATGGCAGTTCATCATGTATCGGACAGCGATGATAACCGACAACAGACAGTCCTTAAACCTGGCCACTTCGTAAAAATTGCAGCTTCGATCCTACAGAACCCCTTAGAGGATCGTATCCGGAAAGCCTCAGAACGGGAAGCACAGGTATTGGAGGGTCTCAAAACAGTCAAAGAGCACGGACTACAGCGCTTGGCCAATGGGATAGCCGAATGGGAAGAAGACAATGGGTTGGTCTACTACCGAGGTCGAGTATACGTACCAGCAAACGACGACCTACGCACTGAGGTACTCCGTCAATGCCACGACCATCCAACTGCAGGACACCCCGGACTACACGGGACGCTCGACTTGGTCAGTACCCATTTCTGGTGGCCTACGTTGCGCTCTTTTGTGGAAAAATACGTTGAGGGATGCGAGGTTTGTGCCCGTAAGAAGATCCAGCGACACCCACGGGCCGTAACTCAACCATTAGATGTACCATCCGGTCTATGGGAAGAGGTAGGGGTTGACCTGATAACACAGCTACCTAACTCCCAAGGCTACGATGCTGTCTTGGTTTGCACAGACCTGTATGGAAAACAAATTCACGCTATTCCTTGCACCAGCTCCATCACAGCCGAAGGCGTTGCCGATATTTACTACCGAGAGATCTTCCGTCTCCATGGTCTTCCTCTTCACTTTAAATCCGACCGCGGACCCCAGTTTGCAGCTAAACTCATGCGATCCCTTCTCGCTAGGCTAGGAATTAAATCAGATCTAACCTCCGGATACCGTCCTCAGTCTAATGGCCAAACCGAACGAGCAAATCAGGAAGTAGAGAAATACATCCGTCTCTATGTAGGACGACGACAAGACGACTGGGCAGAGCACCTCCCCATGGCGGAGTTTGTAAATAACTCACGGACTCATTCTGCGCTAGGCATGTCCCCGTTCGAGCTAACCTACGGCTATCTTCCCCTGTTCAATATCCCAGTGGGCCAACGCAGCGGTATTCCAGCTGTGGATGACCGTATACGGATTCTCCGAGAAGCGCGACAAGATGCCGGAGCTGCCTTACACCTAGGAAAGAAACAACAGAAGGAGGGATACGAACGCGGGAAGCGGAAAGCTCATCAATTTAAAGTTGGAGACCTAGTCTGGCTCAGTGCAGAGGACATTAACCTTCAGCTTTCCAGTGAAAAGTTAGGAGATCGACAGCTTGGCCCTTATCGCATTCTGGAGAAAATTGGCCCTTTAGACTACCGCCTTGACCTTCCCCTATCCCTAGATCGCCTCCATCCCGTCTTCCATGTTGATAAACTATACCCCTGGAAAGGTAACTCCATTAATGGCGAAATACCAACACCACCAGAGCCGGTATACTTAGAGGATGAAGACGAACCGGAATACGAAGTAGAGGAGATCTTAGACAGCCGGGTTCGATGGAAGAAGTTGGAATATTTGGTTAAGTGGAAAGGTTACGACGCAGGGCACAACTCTTGGGAACCCGCAGCCAACCTCAGTCGAGCACCAAAAATTGTTCGGGCCTTTCATAAAAAACACCCAACAGCGGCAAAGCCTTGACCATCGAGGGCAATGGTCATAAGGAGGGGGGTAATGTCATAAAGTACGCAGCCCCTATCATTTTCCTTTTCTCACCGTCTCGACGCCTTTACTTGTACGATACATCATCCCATCACTGTCAAACCCCCATCGATTACTGATCCATCGATTACTGATCCACCTGACCCATCTTCTCCTTCTATTGGCTTCCGCCACCTTCCTTGTTCCTAAACTGTACAGTATTACATCGTTGTTTCTCGCAGACCGGATTATGTATATATAGCCAACCCTCCACAGCCTGGTCCCTTATCTTGACCTCTCTGTCATTATCTGGGACCAGGTATGTGCTTACTTATTATTACCTATGACTACGATACTCAATATATCTCTGTCATTATCTGGGACCAGCCTGCCGCCGTTCTGCTTAGTCGCTCCGCCTTGTTGCCTTGTCCAGCTGCTCCGCCTCACCGTTCTGCTTAGTCGCTCCGCTTTCCCGCTCCGTTAGTCACTCCGCCTCTGCCGCTTCGTGACAGAGAGCTGATTTGCCTCTGGATGAGGTGACAAATGATCGAACAAAGTGTTGAACAGCAATGACAGCTGAACACTATTCAAGTCATTCTCCAAAGCAATTAAATTAAATGAATATTGAAGGACCTACCTATGTTTGGAGGTATACTAGAATCTTGGAACCATTATGGACCCAATAAGGACATGTAGATTCAAATTAAATGGTATCTGACCGAGTGTAGAAGTTTCCTTGCGGTTCCGAATGTTTATTGTATTAAATTAATTGTACTGTGCGACTCTATATCCTGTATGTATAAATAGCAATTTGATGTATCTGGAATACAAGTGATTTTGGGATGACATTGCAGTGCTAATCTGTAAAAAGGAAAAATACACTCCCGCCAGACTGAAACCTCTTTGCTAGCAGCCATTCGGGCCCGGCACTTGTGAGTATAGGAACATCGTGTTCTGCTCCTTGTGACTGCGAGAAGTATATCCAGTTGTTGGGTATTCTTTGAACTTAGGATCAGTTGTTGGTCTTAAGGGCAAATCACGCTGTGTGGTTGTGCCAGCACATAGTTCTAGCCCTCTGTAGGGGTCTTGTCATGCCCTGCCGGTAGAGCTCCCTTTTCTTCACTGTCGGAACTCTACCCAGAACCTCCCATCCTCCCACGGACCTCCCATAACTCTCCATGGACCTCTCATCACTCTTCCTCACACTCCCATGGACCTCCCACAACTCTTAACAAACCTCCCATAGATCCCCCATAACCGGGATGGACCCCATATATACACTGTCAACGATATATCAACTCAGCCTCATGGATTCCGCGTCGCACACCATCCCCTTTGGATGCTTGATTCCTATGATGTCTCCTTGCTCATTCCTCTCGCATATATAAGTAACCTCGTAGCATAAACGTCTCCAGCTTGGTATATTTTGAACACACACCCTTTTGCATAGGTTCAGTCCCTGTCCCTTTGTACCTGCTAACCATATGGATTTCTCTTTACACTCTGTTTCTTTATCTCTGTTTCTCTCAACTCTTGTCTCACATATCTACGATCCAATACATGCTTTTACTTCACATCTAAGCAATCCGAGTGAGTCTCTGAGCTCCCTCGAACAATACTAAAGCTCCCCAACGCCTAACGCCTTGGTGAGCTAACCTCCCCAAAACCTCCTTGAGCTTCCTACTTGTCCCACAAGTTCTGGGACCTCAATCTAGGTAATGTCGAAGCTACTCCCTACGTCGAACTACGTGCTGCTTCTCCATTACTACCTCCAACACTCGAGGACATCCACCTCTAACCCCCAGTTCCCGGGACCTCCCCTCCCAGGTGCCCACCTCCTTAGGAGCTTACACACTCAAGACCTATTCTCTTTACGACCTATTTAATCTTACGTTGACGTTCTAGCGAGTACAACTCCTCCTACGCAACGCTACTAGGTTTTGTACCTCCACTTCCTCTACCTACGCTATAGGGACCTCCCTGGACCTTACAGGAACCCCTTCAAGGGTCACATCTCTCGATCCCAGCTACTACTAGGTCACTCCCATCCTTGGTCGTGGTTTCCGTAGCTCCCTTTGAGCTCCAGCCTGCTCCTAGCATGCTACAACATAAACTCTTCATACCAAAACCTACCTTAAGACCTATTCTGACCCAGGTCTTACAGGTCTGTGTGTTTTGGTTTTAATTTACTTTGATTCAAACCCCCAATTCTTGATATACCCATATCAATACAATCAAAGCACAAATCGTGCTGAATCTACCTTGATCAAAGGAATATACCGAATCCTTAGAACAATTCAAATTGATTGATCAAAGCTTTTCCTAGCTCTCAAAGCTTTGCGGAACCTTTGACAATACTACCCCTTGCTATTAAATAAATTTGATAGCAGTGAACTTGCATATTGTGTATTAGATTGGTTGGTTGGAGTGCCCATTTGATTCCTTCCATTCTCTTTCACACAAAAACGAGGCAAGCTCGTTACCGGCGCGGCCGAATTGGACAACAGAAATTTAGTAGTTAATGATATTACAAGAGATTGTCCAATAGAAGAAAGGGCGGACCTGTTGAGATATAACTTCCCAGGTGAGGTACAAACATGATCAATGCAGCTCCTGTTTCACACTAGGAAACAAAAACTGTGGATTAGTTTTCCAATTCCTCTTCCACAATGATTGGTATTGTGGCGGGAGTGTCTTCAACTCTAGCAGCACGGCCCTTTGCTTGTTGCAGTTAGCAATCTGATGCTTACCACTACAGAAGAGACAAAGATTGTTCTTCATACTTTTTTCTCTCTCAGAGGAAAGAACCTTCCCATTGGCACCAAGATGATTGAATGTGGGGCGCTGATCACTGGATTGGCTAGAGTTTGAAGAGTTTTGAGGTTTACCAGAGTTGTTTGGTTTGGGCTCGGGCGTAAATGGCACCAAAGAGCCCGATGGCTGAGAGTTGTTCTGCTGGTTGGTAGAACCAGCTTTGAAGTCTGAGGAAGCCTTCTTTGGGTTCTGAGCAATAAAAGGCTTACCAGCCTCACATTTCTTTGTTTCTTTGCACTTTCAATAACAATTGTCAATGCAAAGAACTTCTTGACTGTAATCAGTGAGCATCGCCGGTTCGGGGAGATGTGCCATGTCGTCCTTGATACGTTCTGCCAAACCTCATCCATAAGCCCATTTCAGGGCAGCAGAATCCCAGTTGGTACTGGCAGCCAGAGTGTTGAAATGGATGTTGTACTTCTGGATGTTCTTAGTTTCCTTCATTTTGAGATTACCAAGGGAATCCTTGGTCTTGCCTTGAGTATCGTAAATGCCAAAATTGTCCTGAAGCTCTTTTACAAGGGCTTTGAACAAGAATGTCCAGGTGGGCAGAGAATCAAGATCTGAATCAAGGATGTCAGGCACAAACTGCTCCTTGGCTGAGCCACTGAGGTAGGAGAGAGTATAGCTTACCTTTTGCTGATCAGTGAAATACTTTGGATGGTCATTGAAGACCAGGGCAAGATTGACGAAGAATGTTTTGAGCTTTCGGGGGTCCGAACTGTTAGACTCTATCTCCACCCGATGTATGCACAGCCCATAGGGGTGTAAGACCTGGGTCAGAATAGGCCTTAAGGTGGGGTTTGGTATAGGAAAGTTTATGTTGCGTGCTAGGAGCAGACTGGAGCTCGAAGGGAGCTACGGGAACCGCAACCGAGGACAGGAATGACCTAGTAATAGCTGGGGCGAATAGGGGTGACCCTTGAGGGGGTTCCTAGGAGGTCCAGAGAGGTCCCTAATGCGTAAGGAGGTTAGGTAAAAGTAAGGAACCTTGGGATATTGCGTAGTAGGAGTTGTACTCGCTGGAACGTCAATATAGGATTCGAATAGGTTGTAGATAGGAATGAGTCTCGAGGGGGTAAGCTCCCGAGAAGGTATACGCCCGGGAGGGTAGGTTCCCGGGGACTGGGCTAGAGGATGGACATCCTCGAGTGTTGTAGGTGGTAACGGAGAAGCGGTACATGGTTCGACGTTACTTAGATCGAGGTCCCGAAGCTTAGGGAGTGGCTAGGGAGCTCGAGGAGGTTTGGGGAGGTTAGCTCACCAAGGCGGTAGGCATTTGGGAGCTTTAGTATTGTTTGAGGGAGCTCGGGAACTCACTTGGATGGCTTAGACGTGAAGTAAAAGCATGTATTGGACCATATAGACGGTCGAAGAGACGATAGACGAGAATTGAGAGAAACAGAGATAAAGAAATAGAGAGTAAAGAGAATTCCGTATAGGTAGCAGGTACAAAGGGACAGGGACTGGACCTATGTAAAGGGTGTGTGTTCAAAATATACCAAGCTGGGCTTCTGGATGCTACTGGACTGCTTAAATACGTATAGGGAAGTTAACAAAGAGACAGAGTATGAAACGGGCACTTAATGGGGTTTCTAAGTACATGAGGACGGACATGAGGACGGAATGATGGGCGCATGTGCGGGGTTCCAGGACCCTGTCGTGGAGTGGTTCGGTTGCATTGAGGGGAACTAAGGATCGTGGAGGTTGTCCTAGCAGTAAGGAGGTTTGCAGGGCGTTGGGAGTGTTCTCAGGGGTTCAGGGAAGTGAGCTGAGGAGGTAAGGGGACCGAGGAGGTTGGGAACTATGTTAAGGAGCTTATGGGCTATGGAATTTGGGGCGAGGCATGACAAGGGGCAGTACATTTGCCTCCGTCCACAGGATTACATATACACTGTATAGTTTATTAGCCACCCACAGGCAATGGACACGGGCTCCCTCAGTTGTTTTCTATCCAACTGAGGTGAGCCCAATGATTATTTACCTGTGTAATACTTACTCATAGTACATGTAGTATTTATCATTCAACAGGTACCTAATACAGTTGTTTTCTGTCCAACTGAGTATTTATCATTCAACACGGACCATCAAATACCTCCAGCTCCTTGACCTTGCTCTTAGATTCAGAGCTGTCAGAAGGTTGGTTGAGAGCGGCTAAAAGTACCAAGGGTTTCAATAGAACAGAGAGGAGTTCCAACATAGCATGTTGCTCGTTGGGGATATCAGGAGAGATTGGAGTACAAGGACTGCCAGGACCACTTGGGTCACCTGGTCCACCTTGCAGTAAACCACCAAAGTCGTCATCTGGGTTGTCATTGTCAGGATTGTTGTTGTCGGCACCTGGGTCGTCGGGGTCAACAGGAGGATCTTGATCATCATGATCACCAGCATTCAGATCGAAGTGAGGAGGTGGGTTACAGGGAGAGTGTGAAGTAGCATGACATTGAGGTTGTTTCCCAGTACAACAAGCTATGGCTTGGAGGATGGGAGATTCAATTCAAGTAATGGAATGGCCACAGGGGGTTGTCCACAACAAGGGGTCAGAACTTGAACAGGTTGTCCATCACCTGTGTATAGAATACTGTACTTGAATTGTTGTTCTTTTTCCATAGCTTCAGGAAAAGTTGATGTAGTGGGAACTGTAGCCGGACTGAAACTGCAATTACGGCAACATGGCTGACCAATAGCAGAAATAGATTCAGAGAAAGGGGCAAATGATTGAGCTGTAGTGAAGAATGTGTTTTCTTCAGAGTTTGCTCTAGATTGAGCTCGAGTTCTTGGAGGCATAAAAAATCTATCTCTGGGGACTAGCGGCATAATGGCGGTGTTGTTAATAACTTCACTACTGTCCCACTTGACCTTCTGCACTTAGACACCATATGGCCCTTGGCATGGCTTTCTGGTGTACATGATTTTAACAAAATCTGTTGTTCCATTGCTCAGAATTATTGGGGTTTGAGGGTTTGAGGACCTTATATTGTTACAAGCAATTATTTATAGTAGATTCGACATGCTTTACAGTGTGTAGCATACAAAAATGTTCATAAAAACAGTTAAATCACAAAATTTCCAGATCAGGGGGTGTGGATTTCATTTGTGTCTCACTGTACTTCATATTATCAGAAGTAAGTCTGACTTAGTACAGTCTCGTAGCTACTTATCTTATTGGTGTAAGTAATAGCTCTCATATGCATGTGACCTACCAATAGCTTCACGTGACTTGGTTGTTTTTTTTTTTCAATTTATGGATTTAGATAGATAGATTGTTACACAGCCTCAACACGTCAATGGTGTGGTCCTCTAAATGGAATGGCTGGTCTCAACAGCCAAACAACAGCAAGCGCAACCTGCAAGGAGAAGGTAGACTGTCACCTGGATGTCAAGGCAGAGGAAGTAGATAGAGTTTAGGAGATAGATAGTTAATTATTTCTGTCAGAAATTTTATTGTTGCTCCCATCCAATTGTTGATGTGTGAAAACCTTCCAACTACTTCATGAATGAATCATGCAACTCAACATACTGTGCTCCAATTGAATATGAAGGCTTTGAGGTAATGCAAAGATTCAACATTGGTGAAAATCCGAGTTGTTGGGAGGGGAATGTTTAGTATTTATGGATTTATGATTTTCCTCAGGGCTTCAAAAGCTTTTATTTTGCTTCTAAAAAGTAAGAACAAGCAAAACACATGCTCCCTGCAAGGCTCGAACTTGCGACCTTATTTTCCACTAGGATCCATGTCCCTCGGGTTCGATCTCGTTCCTCAAATTGTTCGATCCCAACTGAAATCTTCGTGTAGCCTTTTCAGCTCAAAAAGGCAAACCTGTCCAAATTCCCTACCTTTCCTAATTGAGCGTCCACATGTGGCCCTCACGTGCTTTCACACGTTCCAATTTTTTGCTTCACCGCGGTCACTCGATACAAATTGGCCCAGGGAAAACAAGTACCAGCAAACTACACCAGAGGTCGACAACGACAATGACAACGAATTACAAACCCCTCTTACGTATATCTTCTCTACCTACCTCCGCGGATCCCTATGTCCAATCCGAAGCACGAGCCCCTCTCCTGTCCCAATACCCACTCCAGCTCTTTCTTACATCACCACCTCCACCCCCTTTCCCCCTCTTCCTCCTCCCAACAATCCAGTATCCTCCTCTCCCCAACCTCCCTCTACACCCACACCGACATGCTCCAATAATAATGCTTGCTGTCATGCCTCGCCCCGAATTCCATAGCCCATAAGCTCCTTGACATAGTTCCCAACCTCCTCAGTCCCCTTACCTCCTCAGCCCACTTCCCTGAACCCCTGAGAACACTCCCAATGCCGCAAACCTTCTCTCTGCTAGGACAACCTCCATGATTCTTAGTTCCCCTCAATGCAACCGAACCACTCCACGACAGGGTCCTGGAACCCCGCACATGCGCCCATCATTCCATCCTCATGTCCGTCCTCATGTACTTAGAAACCCCATTAAGTGCCCGTTTCGTACTATGTCTCTTTGTTAACTTCCCTATACATATTTAAGCAGTCCAGTAGCGTCCAGAAGCCCAGCTTGGTATATTTTGAACACACACCCTTTTGCATAGGTCCAGTCCCTGTCCCTTTGTACCTGCTAACCATACGGATTTCTCTTTACTCTCTGTTTCTCTACCTCTGTTTCTCTCTACTTCTGTCTATTGTCTCTCTGATCGTCTATACGATCGAATATACACTTTCACTTCAAGTCTAAGCCTTCCGAGTGAGTCCCCGAGCTCCCTCGAACATTACTAAAGCTCCCCAACGCCTACCCGCTTTGGTGAGCTACCCTTCCCCAAACCTCCCAGAGCTCCCTAGCTACTTCGTAAGCTTCGGGACCTCGATCTAGGTAACGTCGAAGCTACCCCTCACGTCGAACTATGTACTGCTTCTCCGTTACCACCTCCCACACTCGAGGACGTCCATCCTCAAGCTCAGCCCCCAGGGACCTACCCTCCCTGACATATCCCTTCTCGGGAGCTTACACTCTCGAGACCCAGTTGCATATACGACCTACTCGATCCTATAGTGACGTTCTAGCGAGTACAACTCCTACTACGCAATACCGTACGGTCCCGCACTCTTCCTTAACCTCCCTACGCCTTAGGGACCTCCCTGGACCTCCTAGGAACCCCCTCAAGGGTCATCATCTCGTCGTTCCAGGCACTACTAGGTCATTCCCGTCCTCGGTCGCGGTTCTCGTAGCTCCCTTCGAGCTCCAGCCTGCTCCTAGCACGCTACAACATAAAACTTCATATACCAAACCTACCCTAAGACCTATTTTGACCCAGGTCTTACACTTGCATTCCTACCACTACTACTAGCAATCCCTCATCCATCGACTCTCGTACCCAAAGCCATTGACGAAACCAAAGATGCCATCTTGTCACGCGAGTGCATATCTTTTTACTATGTACCTTCAATGTCACCCGTGACTAAATTTGTTGTGCTTGCTCCTGTATACAGTAATTGGACATTTCGTCATTTAAAGACGCTACTTGCCTGGGAGCAGAACCCTCGACCACTGCTCGCAATGTTACGCGCGCTTAGGATTCAAAGTTGATTCCAAGCTGTAGCCCGAGACTTTCTCTGAAAATGAACTACCCACCTCAAAGCTGGGTACAGCCTGAAATATGGCGTGGCGCGTCTGGTTCCATTTTCAGAGAAATTCTTGGGTTATAACTTTGGACATTGCCTTTGGTCATTACTCAACTGCCTGATCCTAAGCAGGGAATTTGCTGAAGTAATCACCGTTCACGGTTCCAACTCTCTCTCTGCCTCTTTCTCTCCTTCTACTACTATGGCCGCGCCCTCCGGGATCATCTACAAAGCAAAGGGTTCCAACCGAGAGGTCCTATGGGAGCACCTCCAGAACAATTCAGCTCTCAGAGAGCATTTCAATTCTAGTTGCGATGTTCACCACTACAAACAGCTGGCACGTCTGACTATTTGTAATCATGATATTGTCAAAAGTCATTATAGAGACTTTGCGGCATACGTTCAAGAAATCTTTGACAAAGGCAGGTCCAAGAAACGAGCCCAGCCTGCAGAAATTGTCATAGGAACACCCTTGCCTTTGATGGGTATGTCTACATCTGATTATATGCGGTCGTTTTCACTCACGTTCCACAGAATACATGAAGGACTTTATCTGCTACTTAGCATCTGTACTTCGAGGTAGAGATGCCTCCACATTCATCTGTTACGAAACCCTGAGGGGCTACATGTACACCTTCTTTGTACTTTGGCCTCGCTATGCCAATGTTCAGATCATCCAGAAATGTGCTATCAACTGTGTTCCTATATGTTGTCCAAGAAACTGCGGGGGGCTGTGATGCTTTCCACTAAGATCAGGACACTAAAGCATGTTGAACCTCAATGTCTTCAAATCATCATGGAGACTCTTCATTCGGCCACAAATATCTTTCGCTCTCACCAAGCCCACCTGCAAATGGCATTCCTTATCCTCTTCTCTGCTTGTCCTGGTTCTGTTGTTGAATCTGCTTGTTATCGTGGTTCAAATGAAGCTCTCACCTGGGGTGATATAAATTTCTATCTTATTCCTGATAACAAAGATCCAGCTCATCCCTCTCTTGTCGTCGACATTCAACTCAACCTTGTCAAGAGTTTTCGCGATGTGGACCACCAATATTGTCATGAAGTACGTAGCCCCTATCATTTTCCCTTTCTCACCGTCTCGACGCCCTTACTTGTACGATTACATCACTGTCAAATCCCATCGATTACTGATCCACCTGTTACCCTTCTCCTTCTACTGGCTTCCGCCACCTTCCTTGTTCCTAAACTGTACAGTATTACATTGTCATTTCTCGCAAATCGGATTATGTATATATAGCCAGCCCTCCACAGCCTGGTCCCTTATATTGACCTCTCTGTCATTATCTGGGACCAGGTATGTGCATACTTATTATTACCTATGACTACGATACTCAATATATCTCTGTCATTATCTGGGACCAGTTGCTCCGCCTCACCGCCTTGCTTAGTCACTCCACTTTTCTGCTCTGCTAATCACTCCGCCTCTGCCACTTCGTGACATTAGGTCAAGATCTATTACTGCACTGACAGCCTACCGATAAGGTTGTTCTTGCAGGATCCGCATACATCACGTCTTCCACACCTGTAGATCTTTCTGATCATACTGCTACAACTGATTGTTCCGC